ACACACACACACACACACAATGACTCAGCGGTAAGTCTACGGACTTATAACGCTAAAAATCGAGCCCCGATACTCCTGGTGGGCACAACCCAGATAGCCCACTGTGTAACTTAATTACAAGCAAACAGAGGCTTAACTTTTTTGTTTCTTTCACCATTCAACCGTCGAGATTTATGTGTGGTGTTATGAGCATGTAGAATCGCTAAAAATTATAGTGTTATTCCTAACACAAGAGATATGAAATATAAGTACCCTGGTGGGACAGCGGTAAGTCTGCGAACTTACGACGCTAAAATCCAGGGTCCGGTCCCCGCGGTGGACACAACAGATGGCTAATGTGGCTTTGCTCTTAAACTAACAAATGAAATGCTAAAAAATAACTATTAACACCATATAAAAAACTGCTCATTAGTTTCCGAAAAGCGTTATACCATATACAAGGACTCGTGATATCAGCTGTTTACTTTCTTGTTCCTTTGATTTGAGTTGATGACCAAACAGATGTTGTATCAAGATTAAAGTTGTAAAGTTCTTACCGGGCGCACATCTGCTGGTGCATGTAATAGAAGAGTTCTCCCTTCCTGTCCTTCTCTTTGTGCATGACATCTGGCCGCCAGGTGGCAGGATAGACGATGTGCCAGTGCCAGTGATGGCGGTTGATGCTAACATCTTCTCTGTAGTAAGCTAACCGGAATTCAGGATCTAAGATATTACCAGTCTCATCGACCTCGACAACAATATCCTGAAGAGAAACCAAACAGGTTATTACAATTAGTTGGTTTTTGTTTATCAACTTTAATTCTGGTGTTAAAAGTGGTTACGCGGACTGTAAGTGTTAAAATAAGTTCTTCCTTGCTTAACTGTATGTCAAATTTTTGTCACGTAGCAGCTTATGTGTTAACTGGGTTATTGCATTACCAAAGTGTGTGTGTGTTAACCCTAAAATCACCGACATATTTTTACGCCATTTACCGTAATTTTGAATAAATTTATGTTTTGTGTGTGTGTGTTTTCCTCCTTGTTAGAGCAACTTACTTTAAAAGACCTTAGAAATTATTAATGAAATGAACTGTAATACTGATGGATTTTTTTAACGTTTTTATGTGTATTTGTAGTTGTGACTCGTGTATCGTTAGGATCTCTGTAACCATCAAAGTCGTAAACATAAATAATTCAGAAAAATGTGTTTCATAACCCTATCGGCAAATTTAGGGTTTAGTTTGATGATGATTGTCACATTACGAGTTGACAACTAAAATAATATAATGGGTGTGAAGCCACGCGGCTTGAAAAAGTGTTGTATGAAGAGTTACGCAGCTCAACTCGGATCTACATTGATAGTCGTACAGCTTAACTCGGATCTAAATTAGTACTTAAACCACTTAGTTCGCTTATAAAACAAGAACTTCGCAGCTTAATTCATTTAATTCTGAACGTGGCAGTCGACAGTTTAATTCATTTCATTCTGAACGTGGCAGTCGACAGTTTAATTCATTTAATTCTGAACGTGGCAGTCCACAGCTTAATTCATTTAATTCTGAACGTGGCAGTCCACAGCCTAATTCATTTCATTCTGAACGTGGCAGTCGACAGCTTAATTCATTTCATTCTGAACGTGGCAGTCGACAGCCTAATTCATTT